GAATGTAAAGTACAAATTACAGTATCTTTTGAAGATCACTGTGATTTTAACATTAAAAACTACCCTTGTACAACACTGAGTAATTTATATAAATACCAAATATGATTGTAGTGTAAAACTTTGATCTTTATTTTCTTAAAATTTGAAACTGTTCTCTGTCACACTAGAGGCAGTGGCTCACTCAGTCCGCCGCCATCGCCCCACACCCTCAGAAATGCTATGATTACCTGCATTTCTTTGCCAGATGAGACTTGAGTCCCCAATCCTGGCTCCCCATCTCACTCGGGCCTGTGCCAAAGACGTAATATTTAGTACAGATGCCAGAACCTTAATGCTGCAAGGTTTTGACTTTTTAGCCAATGTTGTGGCTGCTACAATGAAGTCAAAGGGAAGAGCAGTGATTATTATTATTATTTTTTTTGAGTTGGAGTCTCACTCTGTTGCCCAGACTGGCGCCCGCTCCTGGCCACCGCAGCCTCGACCTGCTGGGCTCCAGCGATCCTTCCACCTCAGCCTTCCGAGTAGCTGGAATTACAGGCGTGCGCTACCACGCCCGGCTGATTTTTGATTTATTGTAGAGATGAGGTCTCACCAAGTTGCCCAGGCGGGTCTCGAACCTGCGGGCTCAGGCAATCCACTCACCTCAGCCTCCCAAGGCACGGGATTACAGGATGAGCCACCGAGCCCGGCGAGGTGATTATTAAACAGAGTTGGGGAAGTCCCACATTAACAAAAGATGGTGACTGTTGCAAAGTCAGTTGACTTAAAGCTTAAATATAAAAAATTGGAGCTAAACTTGTTCAGGATCTTGACAATAACACAAATGAAGAGGTTTGGGATGGCACCACCACTGCTAGTGTCCTGGCATGCTCATTGCCAAGGAAGGCTTCAAGAAGATCAACAAAAGTGCTAATCCAGTGGAAATCAGGAGAGGTGTAATGTTAGCTGTTGATGTTGTAATTGCTGAACTTGAGAAGCATTCCAGACCTGTGACAACCCAGGAAGAAAATGCTCAGGTTGCTACAATTTCTGCAAATGGGGACAAATAAATTGGCAACATCATTTCTGATACACTGTAAAATATCGGAAGAAACAGTGTCATCACAGTAAAGGATGGAAAAACATTAGATGGTGAATTAGAAGGCATTATTGAAGGCATGAAGTTTGATCGAGGCTATATTTCTTCCTACTTTATTAATGCATCACAAGGTCAGAAATGTGAATTCCAGGATGCCTATGTTCTACTGAGCGAAAAGAAAATTTCTAGTGCCCTGTCTGTTGTACCTGTTCTTGAAATTGCCAGTGCTCACCATAAGCCCTTGGTCATGACTGCTGAAGATGTTGATGGAGAAGCTCTCAGTACACTCATTTTGAATAGACAAAAAGTTGGTCTTCAGGTTGTATCAGTCAAAGCTTCAGGTTTATGTGACAATAGAAAAAAACAGCTTTAAGATATGGCTATTACTACTGGTGGTACAATGTTTAGAGAAGAGGGACTGACCCTAAGTCTTGAAGATATTCAGCCTCATGACTTGGGAAAGGTTGGAGAGGTTATTGTGACCAAATATGATGCTATACTCTTGAAAGGAAAAGGTGACAAGGCTCACATGGAAAAATGTATTTGAGAAATCATTGAGCAGCTAGATGTCACAACTAGTGACTATGAGAAGGAAACAATGAATGAATGTACAGCAAAGCTCTCAGATGGAGTACTGTGCTGAAAGTTGGTGGGACTGGTGACGTTGAAGTGAATGAGAAGAAAGGTTTACAGATGCCCTAATGCTATACGAGCAACTGTGAAAGAAGGCATTGTTCTGGGCAGAGACTGTGCCCTGCTTCAGTGTATTCCAGCCTTGGACTCCTTGGCTCCAGCTAACAAAGATCAGAAAGTTGGTATAGGAATTATTAAAAGAACACTTGGAATTGCTACAATGACCATTGCCAAGAAAGCAGGTGTTGAAAGATCTTTGATAGTGGAGAAAATAATGTAGAGCTCTTCAAAATTTGATTATGATACTATGACAGGAGATTTTTGTGACTATGGTAGAAAAAGGAATCATTGACCCAACAAAGGTTGTAAGACTGGCATTATTGGATGCTGCCGGGGTGGCCTCGACTGTGGCAGAAGTTGTGACCACAGAAATTCCTAAAGAAGAGAAGGACCCTGGAATGGGCGCAATGAGTGGAATGGGAGGTGGGGTAGGTGGTGGCATGTTCTAACTCCTAGAATAGTGCTTTGCTATCATTAATGAACTGTGGCGGGAAGCTCAAGCCCTCCTTCATGACATCAGAGGTGTCAGTTGAAGAAATGACGGAAGAAAAGGCTGGTTGATTAAGAAGATCACTATAAACATTAGTTACTGGCTTCAATTGACAATATATAATGTTTTACTGCTGTCATTGTCCATGCCTAAAGATAATTTGTTTTTATCTTTACAAAAAGACATTTGTACATTCCTGATAATCAGGTGCAAGAGCCATGTACCAATGTACTGCTTTCAATTTAAATCACTGAAGCATTTTTACAACTATTCTGTCAAATCAGGATTTTAGTGCTTGTCATCATTAGGTGAGAAATTCAGAAGCAGCAGGAGAGTAAAAAAAAAACTGTGTACAAAGTAGAGAAATATCAAATTATGTGACCTTTGTGTTACAAAAAGTTAAAAAAAAAACTGTTCTCAACTATTTCTTTTTTTTTTTTAGGAGATGAAATCACTTTTATTTCTTAGAGAGATTTTTTTTTTTTTAAATTTTGGAGCTTGGGGTAATATCTTTAGACTATGCCTTAAAATAAAAGTGTTTCCCAATCCTGCCCATCATAGTTCATTCTCTATTCATGATTCTAAACTTGCATGGTTTGATGAAGGGTAGATCCACAGTTATTCTTAGACTGGTAGGGTTGGCTCAGAAAAGGTGTCTCATAGAACCATGAAGTTGGAAAGACCCAAGAAGGCCTTAAAAAGGACAGATGGCCAGGTGCAGTGGCTCACATCTGTAATCTCAACACTTTAGGAGGCCGAGGGCAGAGGATTGCTTGAGATCAGGAGCAGGAGCTTAAGACCAACCTGGGCAACACCATGAGACCCTGTCTGAATAATTTAAACAAACAAAAAAAAAAGCTTGGATGCTGTGAAGAATGGAAGTTAAGACTTCAATAAATATTTCCTACGGCATTAAAAGAACCATGAACCAGGGGCCTACAATCCTAGCACTTTAGGAAGGTGAGGCAGGAGGATCGCTTGAGCCCAGGAGTTCAAGCCTGGGTTTCTCAAAAAGAAAGGACTAGTAAAAGTGAAATGGCATTTCCACCCTGAGAGATCTTGAGAAGGTGTCTTTGCCTTCTTTGGAACAAAAATGGGGAGCACCAACAAAGCGCAAAGACAAAGGCTGCGGTGGCCTCGGGAAGGTGAATCTTGCACCTCTCGCTTCTTCATCCCTGGTACTTGGAATCCCCAATTCCCTTTCTCCATACTCAAACTAAACAGTTAGAAAATAAACTTGCTCTTCTTTTTTTTTTTTTCATAATCAATATTTTTTATTATGGTTTTGTGGGGTACAGTTAAGGGTTAGGTGTACAATTACGTTTCATTCAGGCACCCTGTTGATAAGAGGTGTTTCTCCATCACCAGACAGATATTTGCTACTGTTAATCCCATCTCCCTCCCTCCCCATAGTTTCCCAGTACTGTCAGTCATTTTCTTATAGTATTACATTGGATGTTCAAGGTCCATTATATGAGTGAGAACATGTGATACTCAGATCTTTGTTTCTGTGAGAGGTCACTCAGTATTATAGAGTCTAGTTCCATCTAGGTTGCTGCAAAATTCATGATTTTGTTCTTTTTTATGGCTGCGTAGTATTCCATCGTGTATATGTACCACATTTTTAAATCCAGTCCTCTTTTGATGGGCAGCATGGTTGTTTCCAGGTTCTTGCTATTGTGAACAACACTGCGATAAACATACGTGTGCAGTTATCTTTTTGATAGAGTGATTTGAGTTCTTCAGGGTATATTCCCAGTAGGGGGATTGCAGGGTCATATGGGAGGTTGATATTTAGAACTTTTAGGAATCGCCACACTGCTTTCCACAGAGGTTGCACTAGTTTGCACTCCTACCAACAGTGTAGAAGTGTTCCCTTTTCGGCACACCCTCTCCAGCAGCTGTTATTTTTTGAGTTGTTGATAATTGCCATTCTGACTGGAGTTAGGTGGTATCTCAGTGTGGTTCTGATTTGCATCTCCCTGATGATTAGTGAGGTTGAACATTTCTTCATATGTCTGTTGGCTGCTCAGATGTCTTCCTTTGTGAAGTGTCTGTTCATATCTTTTGCCCATTTGATAATGGGGTTGTTTGTTTTTTTCTTTTCAGCAGGTTTGAGTTCCTTGTAGATCCAGGATGTTAAGCCTTTGTCAGACCTGGTGTTGGCAAATACTTTTTCCCAGTCTGTAGACTGTCTCTCTGCTCTCTTGATGGTTTCTTTGACCTTACAGAAGCTTGTCAGTTTAATAAGACCTGGCTCAAGCAATCAGAGAAGAGGAGACAATCAGGGGTATCCAAATAGGAAAAGAGGAAGTCTAGTTATCTCTCTTTGCAGATGATATGATTGTGTACCTTAAAAACCCAAGAGAATCTGTCAAAAACCACTGATAAAGGCCTTTGGCAAAGTCTCAGGATACAAAATAAATGTACAAAAGACAATTGCATTTCTCTACAGCAATAATAAACAAACAGGAACCGAAATAAAAAACACAATTCCATTCACAATAGCCACAAAAGAAATGAAATACCTTGGCATCTTCCTAACCAGAGATGTGAAAGACCTTTACAATGAAAATTACAAAACACTGCTCAAAGAAATCAAAGATGACACAAACAAGTGGAAAATATCCCATGCTCATGGATTGGAAGAGTCAACATTGTGAAGATGTCCATCATACCTAAACTTGCTCTTTAATGGGGTGGGAGGACGGCTGTCCGGGCGGGGATGGGGTTGGCGTGTCAGAAGCTCAGCCCCCTACGGGCTAAGTCAGCTCCAGCTTCCAGGATCTGGTCCTGCAGCTTGCACACAGCGTCCTCGCACTCGTGAAAAGTGGCCACATGATAGCCCACAGTGACCAGGGCATAGTAGCTGGCGGACACCAGCAAGCAGGCGGGCAGGGGCCACAGAACCTCCTGGCAGGCCGAGGGCAGCTCCAGGCCCAGGGCTCCCATGGTCAGGGCTGCCCAGGTGGAGCCCAGGATGGCCAGTCCCCAGAGCCACTGCGCTAATTTTGTCATGGTCACACTGGGCCCTGCGTGTCCCTGGTCCCGCGCAGCTGACGTCCCCCAGCTATTTCTTAAATGTTCTAGTCATAAGCCCATTCTTCTTGAATATTATATATATCTATTGCCCAGACTGGAGTATAGTGGCACAGTCATAGCCCACTGAAACTTCAAACACCTGGACTCATGCAGTTTTCCAGCCTCAACCTTCCAAAAAGTTGGGGCTACAGGTGCACACCACCAGACCTGCTAATTTCTTTATTTTTTGTAGAGATGGGATATGCTATGTTGCCCAGGTGCGTCTTGAACTCCTAGCCTCAAGTGATACTCCTACCTCAGCCTCCCAAAGTGCTGAGATTCACTTTGGGATATTTTTCTGCTGGACATAATATATTGACTGTAAATTTACCTCATCATGGTAGCCTTTGGTTACACCTATGAATATTGGTTGTCTGTGCTGTAGAGACCATGAAGTATGTTTTAGGGAACACTAGCTTCAGCTTTAAATCCCTTATCTGCTGCCTGTGCTCTGATTGGCCCTAATGTGGATTACTTAGCTGCTCTCAGTTTTCTAATCTGTAAAATGGGGCTAGTGATATACATTGGGGCAGTAGTGAGGGTTACATGAGATACTGTTGCATTTAGCAATGTCTGGCATATAGAGTTGCTCAGTAAAGTTGATTTTCCTGGTTCATAGTAGTTAGAAATGGAAATGCAAATATAGGAGATTTGAGTTTGGAACTGACTGTATCTGTGGTCTTGATGACAGTTGTTTCCTTGTTTGCTTTTTATTTTGCAAAACAAATAAAGCCATGTAATCTTCCAGGTAGTATGATATAGTTTTCAATCTAGGCTGAAAATATGTATGACTTCATCAACTGAATTTGCAAATAAGATCTATTTTATAGGTTTTTTTGTTTGTTTTTGAGATGGGATCTTGATATGTTGCCCAGACTGTCTCAGACTCCTCTGCTCAAGGGATCCTCCCACCCTAGCCTCCTGGGAACTTGGGACTACAGTCATAGGGTTATTTTAAAGACTCAAAGATATGTAATATAACAATTTAAAGAGTTTGACACGTGCTAAGCACTCAATAAAAGTAACTGATTAGTAACATAAAAATGCAACCTAGGCTGGGTACAGTGGCTCATGCCTATAATCCCAGCACTTTGGGAGGCCAAGGCTGGAGGTGTGCCTGAGCCTAGGAGTTCGAGATCAGCCTGGGCAATATAGTGAGACTTCATCTCTACAGAAAAATAAAAATTAAAAAAGTAGCCAGGCATGGTGGTGCATACCTGTGGTCCCAACTACAGATTTAGGTAGAAGGATCACCTGAATCCACGAGGTGGATGCTGCGGTAAGCCATGGTCATGCTATGCACTCCAACCTGGGCAACAGAGTGAGACCCTGGGCAACCATTGTGATAGAGGTTTGGGACTCTGAATTTTGGCTGAAAGTCATATTTACATGATGTTTTCTGAATATTCCAGCTGTTAATGGTTATAATTAACAATTCAAGTTGCTAAATTTTGAAAATATATTGACATAAATGACTTTCTCTTTGGGATCTTTGATATGTAATCTTTAAATAAAAGAGCCAAAATTGAGCAAATAGAAGCTTTTTGTGTTTACATCCAGCTGCCATATACCCTAAACACAATAATAAGACCTGTTTTACACTGTGACTATACTGCTTGAATGCTGGCATGCATTCTGATTGATCAGTATCAATGTAATGCCAGTTGTTAAGAATTTTGAAATTACCTGGAAATATTTATATCTCTATTTGCATCCCCATATTCTCATGTAAGAGTAGTATACTCTTTTTATGTTTCTTTTCTTTGTTTTTCACTACCAGAAGATTGAAATCGTTAGAGTGGAATGATTTCTACAAGCTGGCTAGATTTTTCTGTAGAACTACAGTGTCTGCTGGGTCAGTTGTGGCTTATTTTTTCACTGTACTGAATCTGGGTGCTTTATACAAGGCATGACACCTCACCACTGGAATGTATTGTTGAGTACTTCATCATTGTTTGTTGAGCTTTTCCCAGGGTTTTTACATACAGAACTCATAACTGCTTGTTCATTCTCCACGACTCTCCTTCTACCACACCTTCAATTCTTGAAATTCCTGTGGTAAGAAGTAATTTCTGGAAAGTTTTGATTGGCTGGGCTCCGTGGCTCAGCCTGTAATCCCAGCACTTTGGGAGGCCGAGGTGACTGGATTGCCTGAGCCTGCGGGTTCTAGACCCGCCTGGGCAACTTGGCAAGACCTCATCTCTACAATAAATCAAAAATCAGTCGGTCGTGGTAGCGCACGCCTGTAGTTCCAGCTACTTGGAAGACTGAGGCGGAAGGATCGTCGGAGCCCAGCAGGTCGAGGCTGTGGTGGCCGGGAGCGACCATTGCACTCCAGTCTGGGCGACAGAGTGAGACTCCAACTCAAAAAAAAAAAAAAAAAGAAAGAAAGATTTGATTATTAAGAAACAGTGGTAGAAGTCTTTTAGGAGATATGATAGAAATCAGACTCACTTTCATCAGGAGCATTTAAGTCATCTTAACCAATTCACACCGTAACCTGTGATTCCATGCCATCAAATGCCCAAGTTACCATGAATGTGACCCATGCCTATTTTCCCTGGTATGTCATCTATATTGCTGAATAATGTTTGTCTTTCATTAGTTAAGAATACTATACATGGCAAATTAAGCATTTTTCCTTTCCAAAAAATGAAGGACCTAAAGGAGTCTCACAAATGTTATAGGAACTTTAGATCTCTGAGCCTGGGGGTGTGTGTGTGTGTGTGTGTGTGTATGTGTGTGTGTGTTGTGTGTGTGTGTTGTGTGTGTGGTTTGTTTGTTTATTATTTGAGAGTCTTAGAGTTGCAAGGAGACTCAGAAGCCAACTTTCTCAATTTGTAATTTACACTCTGAAGTTCATAGTAAAGTTAGTAACCCAAGGATGAATAATAAGTTTTAACTTCTGTGTCAGCTCTGTTTAGTTGGGATTTTGGCCACTCAGAGGCCATAGACTTGACATTCTTAATTTAGGTCAAGGTCACTAGTAGATTGTGAAGGAACCTGAACTAGAACCTAGTTCTTTTGATTTCTAATCTCATTTTCATTTCTCCGAGTCATTTTATTATAATGCTCTTGGAAACCTTTACATTGAATACATTTTTATAACCTTGTAATTCATTATGTAGGCATGAAAAATTAAGACTTTTGACTTTTTTATTATATTCAAAAAGTGAACATTATCTTGTTAAAAATATCATACTTATTCAATTTTGAAAACCTAGGAAAGGTGTGAAAATGTAGCTTCATATGCATATCTTTTAAGTATGATCCTTTATTATTGTGCTCTTTTTTACAAAATATGGCATCAGCTTTTATAAGGACACATTTCAACACGGATTAAAACTTTGAGGAGTTAACTTGAACTATTTATAGGTAATTGCCAAAACATGCATATATCTAAGTGTGTGGAATAGAAACATGATTGTTGATAGCTAAGAATAATTGTTTGTATTATGTTGTTAGGAATAATATAGTTATATTTCATACAGCTTTTAAAACCCAGTTGATGTAGTTTGTGCATTTCCCTGACTAATATTGTTGGCACATGATACATATTCAACAATGATGATAACTCTTTCTCTATACAGCATTCACTTTGATTAGAAACAAATCTACTGCTATGCTAATGTGGCATAATTTTTAAAGTATGTTAAGATGCTTAGTAAATTTCATGGCATTCTTTTATAGTATTATCATTCCTTATAGGAACAAGTGTCCTGTCTCCTCTCCCTCTCTCTCCCCCTCTCCTTCTCTCTCTCCCTGTCTCTTCTTTCCCCCTCCCTCTCTCCTTCTCATACATATACTATGCCAGTCATTCATCTTTCCTACGCAACTCTCTGTATTTTCACCTTACTGCCTTAGTAGCCATTGGTACCAAAGTATCTTCCATTAAAACCCAGATGTTAAGGATGGTTTCAAAGTCATTCCCTTCACTTCTACTCTGCTGTGGTTCTTTTGAATTTGAAAAATTCAGAGATGTCCATATTTAATGTTGATTACAATTTTCCAAACTTTTCAGAGTATCTTGGTATTTGAGTCCTACTTTGTGTCTGGTAGTGTTCATTATTTGGGGATGCACAGTAATTCTTCTTTGAACATGAAGATTGCTATATTATTGGAGCTAGTGTTCTCTTAAGGCATTCTTGACATTTCCCATACCCACTTCTAGAACAAGGCCAACCCGGTTTAGTGTAGTTTCAGGAGGCTAGCATGCTCCCTTCCTCCCAAATGGTAATCCCATTTTCTTTGATTTTTGTATACAGTCGTCCTCCATTATTCACGAGAGATATTTTCTAAGACTCCCAGTGAATGCCTCAAACTGCAGATAGTATATACTGTTTTTCCTAAACATACTTACCTATCGCAAAGTTTATTTATAAAATAAGCACAGTAAGAGATTAACAAAGGTTATGCGAACATGGTTTCTCTCTTTCTCTTTCTCTTCCTCTCTCTCTTTCTCAAGTATTGTATTGTGCTGTGCTGTGGGTAACTGCAACTGCAGAAAGTGAAGCCTCAGAAAAGGGGGACTGCTGTATTGCCCTTAATTCTGTAATTGCATATATAACTTCCCTGCAATAATTGGTTGGAAGAATAAGTCCCAGGAAACTCATCCACATGAAAATGTAATAATCCACAGGACCTGTGCACATAACCAACACCAGACAAAAATGGGAGACCAGAACAGCTAAGTAACTAGGAGCACAGGGTTGTGAGCCAGAGAATCCTGATTTTAAATCTTTTCTTTGAGACTTTCTTTCACTTTGAACAATTTAAAACCAGTACTGTCTGACTTCACTTAGATCAATGTTTTTTAGTCTGGAAACTGGAGATAATATAATGCTTCATCAACCATATTATTAGAAAGATTAGAAGAAAAATGTATTTAAAAATTGAGCAATTTTCCTGGCATTTAGTCAAGGTGTGAAAATGCCAAT